TCACCCTTTCCCTCCTGTCAACTGAAGAGCAGACAAATGTGGCATATCTACACAATGGAATACTGTTATGCAAGAAAAGAAAATGAAATATTGATTCATGCGATAGCATTGATGACCCTCAAACATGTTACACAAAGCAAAAGAGGCCAGTCATGGATTGCATGACTTTATTTTCATAAAATGTCTGGAATAAGCAAATTTATATGGAAAAAAGGGAGGGTAGCAGTTGACTACTTCTAAAGAGTATGTTTTTGTCAGGAGAGGAGGAGTCAGAATAAGGGTGATTGATAATGGGTAAAAGTATTTTGGGGAGGACACGATGTCTATGTTCTAAAATCAGATCATGGCAATGCTTGTACAAATCAGTAAACATACTAAAAACCATTGAATTATTTATTTTGTAAGGGTGGACTTGATAAAATACAAATTATTTATCAATCATGCTGTTAAAAACAAGAATTGTAGGGGCTGGCAGGTGGTGTGGTGGTTAAGGGTGCTGGACTCCCACATGGCTGACCACGGTTTGAGGTCTGAGCCTGGGGCTAGCTTTCTCACCTTCTCTTTCTCTCTCTCTCTCTGGTCAAATTAAAACATAATATTAACACATGGAATTAAATAAATAACATAAATCTTTAAAAAAAATAAATAAAAAATAAAATAACAAAAACAAGAATTGTAGGCCCAGCAGGTGGTGTGGTGGTTAAGGAGCTGGACTCCACATGTGGTTCGAGTCCTGGACCCTGCAGTCTGAAAAAGACTCCAGGCATGGGTGCTTATGTGCCCCAAATCCTGAGACAAGGATGGAGAAGAAAAAGGTAAGTTCATACATATTGATAATAACAGTGAATGTTGTGACTAAATGTAGATGCAAAATCCTGAGACAAGGATGGAGAAGAAGGGATTGTGGTGTGGCCACCCTCCAAAGGGATGATTTCTCACTTTCTCTCATTCTGTCTCTCTCCAACAAACACATACACCTAATGGAAAAAAATCTTAAAAAAAAAAGAAAAACAGAATTGTGAAAGTTCTGAGATTTTACCTTACCTATAAGCTAATAAGCTATCCTACTATATTGACATGGTGGTACTAGTTAAAAACCGAGATCCCTTAGTCAGAAACAAAGAACATTATTACTTATTGGGAGCAGACATGTTGAGTCTAATGATTGCCTTTGGCTCTTATGGCCCCTGAATCCAACAGGGGAAACTCAATGGGCCAGATGGATGCTAGTTTGCATGCCAGTCAATGAACCCTGAGCTTACAGAATTTAATGCCTTTATAGCATTAAACCCTGAGCTGTTAGAAAGCTTTCTCTTTGTCCACAGAAACACTTTACCTTTTAGGTTACTTGCTGCAAATACAGTCCTAAAAAATGACCTAGGTAAAGAGCAGTCAGAGCCTTGCGTTCTTGACACGTCCAGTAAGAACAAGCAGGGACACTTAGAGTTTATTAGCAATTGCATCCACAGCAAAATGAGGGTAAAATAAAAATATATGAGGTCGGGATGGAGAACTGAAAGGATCAATGACAGCATATTCTCACAGAAAAACAAAATATACAAATGTAAAATATTTTAAAAATCTAACCTTTTTTCTCTTTCAATATTTATTGTAATTTATGATTAACAAAATCATTACCCATCTTTGTAGGGTGAAATGGCCTTTTTTTCCACTTAAATCCCTTTTGCTTCTTTTTCTTTTATTTATTGATTTATTTTAATTTACATGTTAACACATGTCTTTCCAGTATACATTTCTTTTTCTAACACGAAAATTATGCATGTCAGTCAAGATAAGGATATTACTATATACATTAGCAGCAGCAAATAACTTCTCATTTTTTGTCAATTAAGCTACTTTTATCCATTTTTCTTTCCCCTTTCCCCTCCCCCCCTTTCATACTAAACTTTTTTTCACATTTTATTCATTTCACAAAAGATCTTAAAGTATGGACAAAGGCTAGAATCTAGTGCACTCTAATTTCTTCTGAAACAATTTTTCTTCCTCTCTCTCCAGTCCCCCTTTTATGAAAGAGAGGTATAAACTAACTTATTTGCAAAATAAAATAAAATAAAATTAGGTTAATCTAAATTTGGTCTATTATTTGCACAAAACCCCATAAGAATTTATTTTCTGATGCAAGGCAACAGTTACTATTGTATTATTGAATTTATGCAAATAACCATGCCACAAAATAAGAATGTTCACAAATATTTTCCAATCCCAAAGGGGTCAGGAAGAAATAAAAGTTTATGTTTCAATTTTTAAAATTCTTTAACAAATTGCTGAACCCAACAACAAAAATTCTTAAATCTGGAGGACAAAGCATAGAAGAAAATCAGTAACGTTTTAGAAAAAAGTCATAGAATTCTATTTCACCAGTTCAGTCTAATCTCTTTCGTGTAATCTCTTTCGTTGAATTTGCAGTATTAGTGTGGTGTGACCTTTTCGTTAACCTTCAACATTATTACTGAGATTTCAGAACTTGTGTCTACCGTTCATTAAGTTGGCCTTTCTCTTGATCATTTTTTGTTCTCTTATTTGTCTGTCTTTAGTTTTCCTGGTATAGTACTCCCTTTAGAACTTCTCAAAGAGTTGGTCTGGTATTGGTAAATTCTTTCAAGTTTTGTTTATCTGAAAATGTTTTTATCTTTTCTTCCCACATGGAGGATAATCTCTCTGAATATAGTATTTGGGGATGAAATTGTTTTTCACTTAACACTTTGAATATATTTTCCCATTCTTTCATTGCTTGCATTGTTTCTGACAAGAGGTCCAATGTTATCCTTGGGAACCAGCAGTTAGCGTAATGGCTATGTCGCTGGATTCCCACGTGGTCAACTGCGGTTCGCATCCCGGACCCAGTGGCTTAAAACACACCGGGCACGTGTGCGTGCGTGCCCAAGATCCCAAGAGGAGAATGGAGGAGAAGGGATTGCAGCATGACCATCCCCCCTGGGGAGTTATTTCTCGCTTTCTGTCTCTATGTCTCTCTCTGTCTGTCTGGCGAGCGCACGCGCCCTATAGTGA